AGAACAGCAAGCAGACCAGGAGAAGCGAAGGCTGCCAGCAAGAAGCTGAGGAAGCATCTCCAGCCAACTGGTAAGTCCAATCCTCCTGGACTTGTGCCAGGAGGGAACCAGAGCATCGCTGTCTGCCATGTTCCCCTTATGAGCTGGGGGTCAGTGAGCACAGTGATGGTTGAGCAGTACCAATGAGGGGTAGTGAACATTGATGGTTTGTTGGGTCTATTGGGAAATGGATTCTCATTTAATTGGAATAATAGACTCACATAGCTAAGTTATTTAAGCTGTGTCTTAAAAGAGTACAGCAAGAGAAATAGGAAGAAAATAACCCATAGAAAACTGGATGGTGCCTTTGGATTCAGCCCTGTTTAGACCAGTGTGTGAAGGTTTTATATAACAACATGGAAACACAGCCATCTTCACAGTTTCATTCTGGGAATTTTGTGACTCATAAACATATTTGTGAATACATAATCCATAGGATTGAGTACAGGGTTCTCTGAGAGGGGAGCCTCGTGTTGATGCTGACTTTTGAAGTCTGCGTTAGCTTCTAAGGACCTGGAAGGTGTATGAGTGCCTCAGTGGTGCTTTGAGTGGGGAGTGGAAGGCTGTGTCCAATCTGGGAAGGGGCCACAGGGGCCTTTGGATTCTGAGGTGACTGGAAAGCCACGGTATACCTTTAGGGTGTGGGAGAGATTTAGAGAAATCCTTGAGTTTGTTCCTGTTTTTTTAAGATCTTTTTGAGACAGTTTCGCTATGTGGTTTAGGCAGGCCATGGACTCACTGTGAAGCCCAGGATGGTCTCAATCTCCCAGAATCCTCCTGCGCAGCCTGCCTTGTGCTGGGATTACAGGTGTGTGCTACCATGCCTGGCCCAAATCTCTGAATTTGAAATATGCTCATCTCCTAGAAGATTGTCCTGCTTCTCCTTAGTGACTGGTAGCACCTGGTGGCGAGGGACACTATCTTGCTGCACTCCTGTCCCTTTTGCAGGAAGTGGTGGTTACAGGACAGAACACTGACTTAACTCATTTACAGGTCTCTCCACCTCACTCCTGCTTTACAGAGACACTGCTGTGCAGTCAGCACTGGAGATGCAGGGCTGGTAGGCAAGCACTGCCTGTCACCTTGTTGAGCTGGACCCCTCTCGGTGGTGTCCACTCAGAGTACTTTAAACTGAGGCGTCCTCATCGCCCCCTTTGTATGAGCCACAGTGGAGGCTGAGGGAGAGGGGCCTGGCCAGGAAACGCAATTCTGCGGGGCTGTGCCATTTTTACCACTGCAGGCTTTGGTTTCACATCTTCACCTTGACTGTTGGTCCCCATTTCCTCCTCTTCAGACACCTTTCACCCCTGTACCCACATTTCTTCAGTGGTTAACTTCATGGATCATCTTTGAAAGGGACTTCCTTCCCTACTCTGATCTTTCCCACTTTGTCTCAATGAATCATCTCCTCCCAAGTTTTGGTGGTTCTTACATTTGCTTAAAAGAGTTTATGGCCTAAACTACTTTTCTTTCAGGCTCTTCCTCTGTAATTCAGGCTGGCCTTGATATTGTGACCATCCTTCTGCTCTGCCTCCTCAGCACTGGGATTAAAGGCGTGAGCCATCACTCCTGGCAAGTTGATTGTTAAGCTGGGTGCTAACAGAGTAGACATTTGTAGCAAAATATATTTTAACTAAAATCCAATTAAATGCAAAACATTATAAAGTCAGCCTGGCATCATGGCTCACGTCTATAATGCCAGCACTAGCGCTGAGGTGGGAGGATCACTGAGTAGGTGGCATCATGAAACCTTGTCTCAAAAGCCACAACACAACAAAAACATAAAACTCTCCTCAACTGGGTGTGGTGGCCCTCACCTATAATCCCCGCCTTTGGTATGCTGAGACCAGAGAATCCCTGAAAGTTCAAGGCCACACTGACTGCTCAGTGAGGGCTAACTCAAAAAACAACAACAAAAGAAAATTAAAAATAAAAGTAAAATCTGCTCAGCTGTGATTGTCACAATTCAAGGGTTCCGTAGTCCCTGTGGCTCATGGCTGCTGTGCTCTACAGTGCCCACACAGAATGATCCAAATTCCATCGCACAGCACTGCACAGGAGGGAGGAGAGATGGGAACTCCAGTGTCTCTCACACAGGGATGGGTCATGGGCAGAAAGGGACGCAGTGCTATTAGAGAACTGAGGCAGGGTGATGGTGCAGCCGGGCTGCTTGAGTACTTTACACTAAGGCTGGACCCAGGACTCCCTCCCTCCCAGGAGGCCACCTGTAAGCAGGGACTGGAAGGAGGAGGGAAAGAGTGAGCACGGGGAGGACAGGAGTGAGGAGAGAGACAGAGCACAGCTGGAGCAGAGGCTCAAGGCCCAGGTGGACAGGAAGGAAGCCCCAGCAGCTGTGGGAGATGGGCAGGAGGGAGAGTAGCAGAGAAACCTGGGAGGCGAATCCACAGAGGCTCTGTGAGGCCAAGGGGAGAGCTGTCAGGGTGAGGAGATGGGCGTCTTCTTGTCCTGAGAGAGCTGTGTGTACACGGGTTATGCGGCAGCGCGGTGTCCTAATTGTGTATTTCCCTTTTCTCTCATTCAGCCTGACTTCAGTCACTTATCTGTCTCTGCCTAGCTGCACAATCATGGATTCTTCACGTGCTCCACATATTGCATTATGTTTTCTTAAGCTCAGTAGTTTAGTAATAACTGGAAGAACTGAGTTAAATGTTTCAAAAGTTCTTTTTATTGACTTAGTGGACCTTGGTCCAGTCTTAAGAGTATAATACAAGGTTTTCTCTTTTTGAGGCAGGGTTTTACAATGCAGTTCAGTGTAGTGATCCTCCTGCCTCAGGCTCCTGAGTGCTGAGTTTACAGCCATGCACCACCTTGCCTTGCTAAAACTTATAAAACATTTTGCTTTTCAAATGAAAAGGCATGATTTCGTTGCGTGTGAGCACTGGATCATTTGTGCTCCGCTATTTGGCTGAGATGGGATCAGTAGTGTTGCTCTCAAGCATACAAAGGCAGACATAAACAGGGCAGCAAGCACACAGCAACATACTTACTGTGTGTGACAAGATCTCTAGTGCCAGGGTTGGAGCAAATTTGACTTTGGGACTCTGCAATGGAAGATCAAAGTCCTGGCTTACACTCCTTTGTGGAGAGTAGAATTGGAACCAATAGGCTGCCAGACACCTGTGGGAGGGCCCAGGGATCAGAGTGTTGGAGTTTCAGATGGTGAAAAAAGCAGAGTGTGGTGGGACAGACCTGTAATCCTAGCATCTGGGAGGCTGAGGCAGGAGGACAGTAAGTTGAAGACCAGCCTGGATCGCTCAGTGAGGACTTGTTTTAAAAAATACCAAACCGAAGCATACCAAGAGTAAGAAAAACAAGGAGGCCTCAGGCAAAGCTCCTTTCAATCAAGGCTACTGTAAGACACTAAAGTCCTCTATCATCAGGAGCACTTCTGAGAGTCCTGATTGCCTTAGGGGTACAGCAAGAAAAAATAAAAAGCAGACAAGTTTAGCAATACATCAATGACTGGGGAGTCAGTGTCTCCAATGGGTCCTCCTCACCCCACTGTTTATTAGATGCCTTCAGGGATAGGTGGGGCTAGCAAATGATTGCAATTCAGCAGAAGGCTAAGATTAAGCTGCTGTAGAGGATCATGTGCAGGGAAAGATCTGGTTCTGGAGTATAATCCTGGGGTAGCTCAAGAGGGTGTAGACGATCACACACTAAGAAGAAGCAATGGGAAATCTCAGTGGCAGGCACTGATATACCAAGGTTCCATTTTATCCTCTGGGAAGTGTGGGAAATTAGTCATTGTGAATTTGTGGCCCCCAACTCACGTGTGGACCTGGGACAGGCTGGAGAGAAAGTTTAAAAGGTTAGAATGACAGAGACTACATGTTGTCAACTCATTTCATTTAACAAAAGATTTTTAAAAAGCCAGGCAGGGTGGTACACAGCTGTAATCCCAGCACTGTTGGAGGCTGAGACAAGAGGGCTGCAAGTGTGAGCACTTCCTGGGTGACTAGTAATTCGCAAGAACTTGTCCCAAAATTAAAAAGCAAACATGCCTGGGGTTGTATCTCCATGCAAAGGCACTGATTCAACCAAGTCCTGATGCTGGTGCAGTGGGGGTTCGCACAGAATGTGGGATGCTGCCTCAATGTGCCAGGCCCATCCCTGCCTCCTTGAAGCCTCCCATAGCTGCAAAGCCGGAAGTGGAGAGACCTTTACTACTTGGGAGGAAATTCTTAGATCTTGACACCAACCAGAGAGTCAGTGAAGTACTGGGCAGCTTACTTATGTCTGTGTGGCTTAGTAAGTAAGAAAGAGCAAGGGGGAAAATCAGCCTGGAGTGGGAGCACTCATGTGTTGCTGAGTCTCAGCTTCCTTCTCCGTGGCTGAGCTGAGAGCAGCTGCCTCCAGCATTTAGATGCAAGTGGGTCCTTATCACAGAGTCTGCTCAGCACATCAGACAATGCGAGCTGATGCTATGGGCTAATGCTGTCAGGACCTTTGGTCCCTTTTCAAATGTGTATGCCACTTTGCCACCTCTTTTTCTCATCAGTCCAGTTCTTTGCAAGAGACAGAGCCAGTGTATTTAGCTCTATTTTATCAGTGAAGAGAGCAAGGCATGGAGGGCTCTGTCACACTGAGAGTCTCCCAGCTCTGTGGATGTCAGGGCTTGGATCTGAACCCAGGGATTCTTGAGGTGTTGTCTTGTCATCCCTCAGTGAACGCAGACTCAGCCACTGATTCTGGGAGCATGAGGAGCTAACAGAGTGCTTTGTGTTCTTCTCAGTTCCTCTTACTTTCGATGAAGTTGGCATGGAGCTGGCTGATGTGTGGCTCCAACCACTGCCACCAGCTCTCTGCCCTTGTACTGTGGCCTTTGCTCTGGAATTCTGCTCCTAGGCCATGCTCAGGATCACCCCCGCTGGTTGCTCTTCTGTGTGACCATTTATTTGCTCCTGTGTCAGAGCCCAGTGAGACTGGAGGCTGCGGATGGGGAAGGAGTTGGGAAAGGGAAGATTGCATTGCAGGACAGCTTTCCCTGTCCACCATTTGGAGCTAATGCAACTGAGTCCCTTGTCTGCTTTTCTCCCAAAGAGCAGGGTCCAGTGATTGACAGAGTGAAAGGAGAAGCTGCATCCTGAGAATTAAGACCTGTGCAGTGTAAACATCTTCGTGTCACCATGATTCTGCATCCTCAGGTGGTGGCCTTAGGTCTCCTTCTTCTCCAGACAGGTAAGTGAGCAGCGGGCTGTACTGCGGGGCTGTGGTACAGGAGTAAGACAGATGATCCTGGGCTCTGGGATGGTTCTGTGCTTTCCAGTGAGCAGAGAACCAGGATTAAATCTTACTGCAAAGCAATTATTTACCTATTACGAACTCCCAGATTGATAACCAAGGTAGGCAGGTGAGAGGAAGAACATATGCTGTCATTTATATTGGAACAGAAATGAGTTGAGTGGATGTACACACAGACACTGTGTGCAAGAGGAGAGTTAGCATTTTATGAAATTCTTTTGTGCTTCTTGGTATTTTTGAACCATGTTGAATCATTTCAGTTAAATATAGCTTTCTTTCCATTCCTTTTTTTCTTTTGTTTTTTTTTCTTTCTTTGGCTCTTTCTTCCTTGCTCTTTTGCTGATGGTTGAACAAATGGTCTTCACACTGAAATATATTTCAGGCTCTTTTTAATTTTTATTTTGACATATTGTCTCACTAAGTTGCCCATGTTAGGTTTAAACTTGCAGTCCTCCTATCTTAGTTATGTTTTATTCTTCGCTGAGACAAAAATAGCTGATGTGCAAAGTTGGGAAAGGAAAGGTTTATTTCTTAAAGCTTTTGGAGGTTTCAGTCCACACTCAGTTGGCTCCATGACAGGATGACATGGCTGGGCCATGGTTTGTGGTGGCTGCAACCTGCAAGCAGGGAACCTGCAAGAGAGCAAGACACACCTTCCTGCCATTACATTACATCCTGGCTTCAGGCCTAGGCCAGTGTAGCACTCACACCTCCAATCCAAGGGCTCAATAATGAACCAATGACAAATGCATAATGCAAATGCATGAGCCCTAGGATCCACCAACATGAACCCTGACACTTCCTGTCCCAGCCTCCCAGAGTTCTGTGATTACTGGTGTGCTCCAGTGTGCCCAGCTAGGCTTGGTTGTATTTTTTGTGTTGTTTTTTTAAATGTCCTTGAACCAACACAGATTGTATCTGAAGGAGAGGAGCTGGACCCTGCAGGTGAACAGGGCATTTCCACTATATGCCCATTGCTGTTGTTGATGATCTAGGGGAAATGCTAGAGGTCAAATACATTTAGTTCATTTTCCTCAAAGTGAAAGAATGAATTCTAAAGAACAGCAGTGGTTAAGAGTAGTAAAGTTTACTAGAGAAAAGTAATGGAGAATAGGGGTGAGAATGGGGAATGGAAATAGCTCCTGAGAGACAGGAGAGGTCCCAAATGTATTGCCAAGGAGCCCACCTCTCCGTGGAAGAGTTATGGAGCCAAATCATGAGGTGGGTGCAACATGGGTTCAAGTTATGATCAACTAGTAAGATTGTGAGGATAGACACTTAGGTAATATTGTTCTAATAGTAGGAACAGTACAAGAGTAAAATCATTAACCGTGATCAATAATCTAGAGTCAGTCTTTAGACTTAGTGGTCTTAAAATTATTCTTAGTGAATTTAGTCTCAGTCTTAGTGCGTTATAGAGGAGGGCCCACCCCTAATGAGATCATGAGAAATCTCAAAAGAGTGATGCCAATAATCCCAAGCCTCCTTGCGTCCCTTAGGGAAGTATGTAGAACTAGCCCTTGTGAATTTAATCTTGTGGTGCACCTCCATCCACAGTCTTGATGGATTTTCATCCTTTTCACTGACTTCCTTGAAGGCCCAGTCCTATCTGACAGTTGATCATATTTCTACATGTTTTAGCTGTATATAATAGTATGTTTAAAATCCCTGTGACCTGGATATGGTGCCACACATTTGTATATTCCTTCTTGATAATTTCTCTGTTAGAAATCTATCCTTTAGGAAACCTAAATATACAATAATCTTGCAATAGACATATTTTCCATGCCCTGTATAATGGTAACAAATGAGGAGCAGCATGAGCATCATGCAGTACAATAAACTGCTTATCCACAAACATATCTATTACACAGTCATGCTGATGAAGAATACACTAAAAGGAAAGTGTTTACATTAGAATTCAAAGGTATAAGCTGCTACTGAACAAGGTGGAAGTCACTTGAATTCCCAATTATTAAGCAGAGTCAGGCAGAAATATGTAAATTTTGCGGTCAGTGCCAGGCAAAGTAACACCTTCTGGGCAAACAGCTCAGTAGCAGAGCCCTTCCTTTGCATTCATGAGGCTGGGTTCAATGCATGCTATCCAAAGAAGAATCATGCTATAAATTCATCATGATTACAAAATGCACAGAGAAAAGAGAACAATTGTACTCAAAAGTGAGAAACACGAGGAAGAGACTGAGTTCTCATTGTCCATTTCTCCTCTTTGTTTCAGGTGCTGTATTTGCTAACCAAGTGGATACCATGGAGGGTGAGACGGTCACTCTACCCTGCAGCTACTCAGTGAGAAACAGGAGAACCCTACCCATGTGCTGGGACCGAGGACCCTGTTCCTCTTCTAGATGCTCCCGCACACTCATCAAGACGGATGGACACCGAGTGACCTATCGGAAGGACAGCCGCTATTGGCTCCATGGGAAGATTAGTCAAGGAGATGTGTCCCTCACCATTCAGAATGTGACCGAGGGTGACAGTGGCCTGTACTGTTGCCACACTGAGTTTCTGAGATGGTTCAGTCGTAGCAAAAAAACGGTGCAGCTCAGTGTTTTGCCAGGTAAGCTCTCTTCCCTCCGATCCTTCCACTCATGAACTGTTGTGTGGGTAAATTACTCTTTCTTTAATAGGAAAGAGGAGGGCCCATAGTGCTGTTTGCCAGTGAACATTAGGTTGTAGAGGGAGAATAACACGTGTTTGTGCAGATAAAGTCCTAGACTTTCTTTGATACCAGGCCATGAGCTGGAATCACCAAATGTCTTGCAGAATAGCTCCTCAGAATGGCATTTGGGTCCATGAAATGGCATTCACTGTGCCAAAGTGACGTATTGTGAAGGGTTTTATTTAACAAGTGAAATTTGCTAAAACCATTGCACCTTTTTTGAGTCCATGTCTTAGAAGAATATTTCATGAAAATGTGCATATTGTGTGTTGTATAGGCATGGAGTTCTACTACTTCCCCTGTGCTAACTCCAGGTTTTAAAATATATTCTATACCAAATAAATTGACATTCTAAAATTAAAAATTTCCCTTGTTAACTGGGGTGGTGGCACAAACCTATATTCCCAACCCTCAGGAGACTGAGGCAAGAGAACCACTGTGAGTTTGAGGCCAGCCTGAACTATACAGAGAAATTCTGTGTCAAAAACCAAACAAAATATATTGAGTTGATGGTATTTTCAAGCTTTTCCATTCCAACAACTGTTTGTTAGTGGCTCATAAGAAGTTCATTAAGTCCACACATTTGGGGACACTGTTTTTTGTTTTAGGACTCCTAATTTTTTAATTTCTGTTTCATTTTTTGTTTGTTCTAGTCAGACAAGTTCAGACTACAGGCTCCTCAGAACAGATGCGCTTTTTTCAGAGACTGTTTGTACATGCTTGATCCATTCCATTCCTGACTGTTTTTATTCCGCACTCTCTGTTCAGGATAAATTTTAGTTTCTATTCTCTGTGAAGCTCCCCAAATTTCAGCTGGATTTGTGGCCTCTTTCACATTTCTGATGCTGCCAATTTCTAAAATGCATATGAAGTGTCTCATCCAAAAATCCAAAATCTCCCGTACTCTCACATCTGAAAGTTTTGAGCAGTAGTATGACCAAATCAGTAGATAAGTTCGCACTATGAAATTGATTCACGTACATTTTTGAAAGTGAAATATTATATGAACTTACGTTTTTGTTATGTGTCTATAGTATATGTGCAACATGAGTGAATCACATACCGAGACTTGAACCTCATTTCCCTGATACCTCATTATGTGCACGCAAATATTGCAAGCATTTTGGCGAACGGATACCCACTTTGTGAATCTTTAATGGAAAGAAGCCTTCCAAGACCTTGTCTCACCTCTAACCGAATGTCCAAATCTTTCCTGCTGCCTCTGCATGTGATCTACCATAGGTTAATGGGAAGCAGTGGGTCTTTAGGTCAGATACCTTTATCTGAAGTATTGTCTCTGGGGCTGAGAATGGTAAACATGCTTGCAACTGAGAGGACAAATTCAAAAACTCTAGAAACCTTTCCTCGGAGTGGTCTTTAGACAAGTACCTTAGTTGAAATATGAGATATGTGTTTTCATTTCCCAGATATTTAGTTTCCAGGAAAGACTCTCCTCTCCAAACTCAGCATGTTTCCAAAGCCCTCTTCTATCAAAACAAGTAGCTATCCATTGTTAAAGACTAAATCCTGGAGAGGAAGGCCAGCCTAGAGACAGCCTGTCATCACTGCTCAGCTAGAGATGTAGCAGGAGGCTCTGGTTTCTTGGTGCTCCACTAATCTCTGCTTCCACCCTGATTTCTAACTGCAGTCAGCACCACAACTGTTTCAATGGCAGCCCTTGTCTCTACTTCTGCTCCTTTAGTACCTGCAGAAATGCACAGTAACAAAATAGACAAAGTGTGATTTGGACCCACACCGGGAAGTGTGTGACTCTGGACACCTTCCTGTGACTGGAGTTGTAAAAGGGACTTCCATGCAAATGAGCTACATGTTTTCATTTCCCAAATACTAATTTTTCAATGCAGCTGATCCTTTCCACTCCCAGCATTTTTGTAAAACCCTCCCACATCAGAGCTTCTAGCTGGCCATTGGTGAAGACCAAGATGCATAGAGACATCCCTGCCTAGAGACCGTCTTTCATTAGCAGGCTCAGCTGCAATTCCTGCAGGAGACTCTGGTTTATTGTTGCTGCACTAATCTCCACTTTTGTGTTTGATTTCTAACTCCAGCTGGGACCACAAGTGTTCCCACATCAGCCAGTGTCTCCACTTCTCCTCAAACTACAGAGCAGACGCAGAGCAACGAAACAGGTAAAGGTGTTTGTGGGAGCCCAGAGGCTTTCTAGTGGGAGGCTGTAGACCGTACAGATCATTGTACCCAGAAAGAAGTACCTGGGTCAGGGATTGAGCCCAGTGGCATACACTCATGCCTGGCAAGTGCAAAGATGTGTTTGATTCCCAGTTACAAAAGAAACAACAAAGCATAGAGAGAGACAGAGAGAGAGAGAGAGAGAGAGAGAGAGAAACAATTACCATTGAGTATGAGGATTCTGAATTGGGATCAACACATGGACTTCACAAGGTGTGTGTCCTCACCTCAAACTCACAAGTGAAAGCATTTGAAGAGCCAGAATATAAAGATTGATAGCTATAAATATGTATGTATACGATCTGGGAGGTGCTCTTAGTTGATGCAGTTTTTTGTTTTGTGCTTGGGCAGGATGTGACTATGCAGGTCAGTCTAGCCTTACACTCAGTATTTAGCCGAGGCTGGTCTTGAACATGTGGGAATCCTCCTGCCTAAGCATCCCAAATGCTAGGATTGCAGGCACTATCCATCATACCTGTCTTATTCTTATCCTGATGGTTTCCTAATGAGTTTGAGAATCGAACAGTATAGTACAGATAGGAGGTGAGCACCACAGCCCATCTACTGTGGGACACTTATGTTTACATTTTCCTTGGCCTGGGCTCATGCTAGCTGCCTAAAGCAGGCATGGAGTGCTTGCTTTGGCAGCATGTACACAAAAATGTCATGGGATCAATATAAGTACTTTTATATTAGAGAGTAGGGTACCACAGAGGAAGAAGTTAAGGTCAGGCACAATTCTGTGCAAAGCTAAATCTGGTAAAGCCTGACCATCTGACTCTCTTGCATGGACTTGTTTTTATTTCCTAAAGACAGTGGCATCTTTTTACAGTTTTGAGTGTTAGCGAAAATGGGACAACAGTTCACAATATGAAAAGTGGTGATAGTGGAATGCAAAGACTGGGGAGGGACACAAAGCCTGGAGAGGAGCAGTTAAGGGAGGCCCATTGAGGAATTCTTATCCTGCGGCTGCCATGAATTTGACATAAAATGCTAAGATATTCTCGGAGACGGACATCATGTGAAGACCTCACAAGTGACCGACTGTGTAGACATGGCCAGCTACAGGAATAGAAAACAGCTAAGATTTCCGGAAAGGAAAGTAACACACAGGTCTGTTCGACAATCCACAGTGGTATCTTTTTGATGAGAAATGGATGCTGAGTCAGAGCTGGACCAAGGTCTACCAGGAAGCCCGCTTTGGGGGTTGCAAATCTTTACCTAAGTGGAGACATTGTGCAGTATCATCCCCTTGTGGAGACATCAAGGCAGCAGACAGTGCGTGTGTTCTGAGTTGGTCACTAGGGCTTCTTCCCTCATGTGAGTGGTGAACAAGGCAGAACTTGCATATACTGAGGTAATCCAGGGAGAGACATTACCAGTGGGCGAGGACAGGTTAATAGGAACTCCCGGGTCCTATTCCCTGAAGGTAAAATGCACTTCTAGGAATAAAATAAAAGCTGTGACCTGGTTTCCCACAAGAGATGCACTGTTGTAGACTTTGCACATTTAGACAAAGCACAGAAGTTTATGGAGTAGAGAATGGAAGAATTTGTATATAAAAAAACTCTACAATGTTATATAGATCATCTTTCCTATAGGATAATGAAAAACTAGATAACAATTCAGTGTCTGGAGGACACTTATAAATTTATTTATTGACTTGGCCTTTTAAGACAGGGTTTCACTGTGTACTGCAAATTAGTCTTGAATGCTGGTACTAAACTCACTGTAGTCCAGGCTTGCCTCCAATTCACAGAAATTCTCCTTCCTCAGCCTTCCAAGTTCTGGGATTTCTGACATGTGCCACCATACCAGGCTTATGTTTTGTTTTTGTTGAGGCTGAACATTTCCCTCTACAAATGGATCATACTTCTTCCATTGTTTTCACTTCAGAAAGTTCTCTACTTGTTCCAACCCAAGCGGTAGGAACCCAGCATACAACCCTGCAAGAAACAAGACCTCAGCCTGTCACCTCCACCATGGATTCACGGCCATCAGGTAACTGTGTTCTCTCTCCTGAACCCTAGAGTGTGTAGGTAGATCTTGGTAGGCACTGACTCAACTGCGAACAGAAATTCTGGAAGAAAATGAAAGACTTCCATGAAGCAGAGCATCCAGAATTCACAGAGTAGCGTTATTGGGAGTTGTATGGCTTGGGAACATCACATGCATATTGCTCTCTTTTGGTGAATCAAATCTGACAATCTTGGCTCCATGTTTATTCCTGAGCTTGACCCTTTGGGTTCTCCTCATCTCCAAGTCCCAGACCCTAAATATGTCCAGGAGGCTGCCCTGATCTCAAGATTTTATTTCATTGGACACTCTGAGGTGTTGCTATGGACCATATGCTGCCCCTAAATATCATATATTGGTTCCTAATCCCTTGTGTAAGTGTATTAAGATGTGGAACATCTAGGGTGACATGTTCCTTAATAACATACCAGAGAGAGCTTGTTTGCCTTTTCCTTCCCATGGGAGTGTAGAGAAGGTGTCACCTAGCATGAAGAAAATGCTCATGAGGCACCCATTAACCGTGTGAGTGGATCTTGGCCTTCCCAGCCTTTACAACTCAGACACAGACATTTCTTTTATCAGTGACTCCTGGTAAGATATCCTGTTACAGCAGGCTGAGCTCACAAAACATACACCAGCATCAAAGAGCCTGCACTGAAAGGCGGCTCCTGTAAACACAATACCCATTTGGCCAGACTCTGGGCAGGTCCCATCATTTGGACATGTAGGCTCCACCTGTCTTTCCCAGATGGAGGAAGGTCACCTGTCCCTGAACCCTGTGTCTTTTCCAGCTAACTCCCTTTCTTACCCATAGTGGTAAGTTTTGAGAGCACTGTGTGCTAAACTTCTTTCTGACCCAGAGCTGGCTTAGGTGTCCTTTAGCCTGTGCCTCACCCAGATGGATCAACTGATTGGGCTGTGTGGACCTATGACTCCTTGTTCTGAGTAGTTGCCAGCCTGTGGGTACACTTCCCTTCTGAACCTGTCTTTGGCCACACATTCCTGGTAACTGGTGAATCTGCAATCGACCTGCAATGAGCGTCACAGAGGCTGGGGCAGTCAAGTAGGGATTAGACAGTGGCAACATTTGATTCAGAAAGTGGAATCCCTGTTAACTGCTTCTGTGCATAAAAACAAAACACAATATGATAGAAATACAAGAATCAGCTACAGCACACTGTTATAGGGGAGGAAGAAAGTAAGGCTGGGCAGTAATTCTCTACAATACCATATTATTCAAACCTGGTCCCCATAGAGCTTGCTGGAGTGTGGCAGCCCTTGCAGCAGCTGTGCTCCAGGGATTTCCATGAACACTGACATTTGGCTGAGAATCTGAGGCCCCTGGGCCAAGACTTCATCATGCCCATGTCAGCCCTCAGGTGGTGAAAGCTGTGATGAAATGAAGAATGTTGGGTCTGGAAAGAATGTCACAAACCCCCCACGCACATTACAGACATGTATATCTGGAGACTTGTACTTTCTCACTGCATTCTCCCAAGGCAGGCTGGGTGTTGTGATTGCCTGGCCAGGAGACCTGCTTGGAGCACAGCTCCTGGTTCAGCTGCCGTACTCTCTGCAGGCCAGTTGTCCAGTTGTTGAAGGTTCCTCATTAGTTAATCACAAACTTATAAAGTATCCCTCCCTACTCCTCCTGCCACCTTTCACTTTAGGGTAAGAAGTTGTAGCTGGGCATGCTGTCACATGCCTGTACTCCCAGGTGTTTGGGGAGTCTTTGTGACACTGTCCTGTTACAGTTCATTTGCTTTTATTCTCTTGAAAATAAAAAAAATTCAAAACTTCCCTATAGATTCCTAAGAAGAACATATTTATATGTTATCTGTTATAGAATAGATATTTCAAAAATACATGAACAATATGCATGTTTGAAACTTTAAGATCGGTATCTCTTCTACCATATGAAATCCTAGTCACTATGTGCCAGAAAATACACCTGTGTGATCTTGTGGCTGATTAACATACTTTCTAAAAATTTTCAGGATTGTAATCTGGATAATTTACCATATATCCTGAGATTTACATGCCATTTGTATTGCATATATGTCAATTCAGAATAGGGTGGATCTGATCCTTGGAGGTCAATGTGGCCTCTGGACACTTGCTGACAGCTTCTTAGACATGGTGTAAATAGTGCATGGCATTTAAGTGGCATCTTACTCCGATTCTATGAACACACTTTTCTGATTCCCCAAAATGTCAGGTGAAATCTTGTATGCATGCATTTTTCCTATAAAGGAAAAAGGTGTCCAGTTTCAAAGAGCTGATAACAAAAACATTAAGAAACACAAGTTCATAAGATAAATTAATAACATTATTACCCCGTGTGACTCTAGCAATCTCTAGAGCACCCTCTCATATTATTATTATCCCATGTCTCATCACCAGAAGACAGTGTGAATATATTTAGTGCCTGCAATGAAAATCCAAAATTTTTTGTGGCTCTAAATAATTTTTCTTTTGAGCAGATGGGAATGGCGCAGTGACACAGTCTGCAGGTGGACTGAATAATCGAAATGTAAGCATATTCCTTCCTATTTTATTAGCAGCATACACTTGTAATTCTTCTTAGAATCAAGTTGAATGCAAAGCCTATTTCTGAATTTTTTCTCCTAAAAGAAAGAAAGAAAGGAAGAAAGAAAGAAAGAAATAGAGTATGAAGTGGAATGTTTGAGTTTGAAAAGTTCCTGTAGGGGGGCTAGTTTGTTAGAAGTGCTTCATAAGTAATGAAATAGCACGCGTGTATGCACCCAACCTCCCCACCCCCCCCCCCACACACACACCACAGACACACTCATACACTACACAGATCTTTCCATGGACAAAAATTGGAAAGAAATGATGACTTAATTCAGAGAGATCAAATTAACATAATTCTAAGGAGCCCTGAAATTATCATTAGAGATATAACATCTTTGACTCAATGGGATGGAATGGGGCTGTCCCAACAAAAATAGAATGTAAGGGAAAGAGTTCTTACATGAGAGCAGGGCAAAATATCTTTTTCTTAATCAGTGACTATTCTGTGTAGAAATTCTGTGGTCAGTATACATAAAACTTCCCACTTGATTGCTGATTAAGGTAGTAAGGTCTTCAAACACTGCGATTCTAAACTTCTTGTACATTTGAGCTCGAGGAAAGGCTAAGGAATCCCAGTCATGTGATACTCTTAAGCAGTTATCTTTACAAACAATTGGAAAATGTTTTAGTAACATCTTTGTTTTTTGGGGGGAATTTCAGTGGGAAACTATCTTTGTTTCAGTAGGTGCAAGTAACATAAGTTAAAGACAAATTAGCACAAAGTTTGTCCTTGAAAGAGAAATTCAGGAATTTCAGAGTGGAACTCTTTAGTGCAGGGCAAGGTGGCCCCATGCTGTGTCTGTGGTGACAATAACAATACCACCTCAGGGGTGATATCAGGAACTGCTGGCACTATGAGAGATTGAGGCAGGAGGATTGTGAGTTCAAGCTCATTCTGATTAGTTTAGCAAGACCTGTCTCTAAATTGAAAAAAAAAAAGAAAAGTGGGCTGAAGATGTAGCTACATGCTACATGCAAAGGCCCTGGATTCCATCCCAGTACTCCACACACAGACACACACACTGCGTTTACCACATGGGCCCTGGGTGAGCTGATAGGTAGGCACAAAATTTTATATGCTGGCTAATATCAGAACTACCATGTTTTAAATGATTATTGTGTTGCTAATTGAGCAGATTTAAATTTAGGTTAAAAATGGCAATGGTGTTCTTCACCTCAGTTACTTGCAGAACAGATTTATGGTTAGCAGCAAATAAAAACAATTTAGAAGCACGTTCAGGATGGGTAAAGATAAAAAAACATGAACCGTTTGAGCCTTCAGTCTGCAGATGTCTCCCAGATACACTGAGTAAATTAGAGCACATATTTTGACCCAGTGGGTTAACTTCTTCTCTTTACCTTAAGAGAATTGATTGTGAAGATATATGAGAAAGAACACTCATTATTACAATTCATGATGAATGTGTTGTAACAGGTAAATCCTCACTAGTAAGGGATTATTATTTAGTCAATTAGGCACAAATAAATATTGCCAGCAAGCATGTAGTTACTTCCTACACTTAGTGACATGGGAAGGACTGAGTCACCATAGGTTTGAACTTTTGATCCTCCTACATTGAAGTGTTGGGATTATGGTAGTATTCCAGGCATACTCAATGTATATTACATTTTAAAAACCAAGCACTAGATCAAAGACCAAATCAATAAGTAAGCACATGCAGATGACAGCCAACCAAATCGATACATTCAGGAACCAAATTCTTAAGAAAGATGATACGCTTACACAAATAACCTACTGGTTTTAAAACATATGTAATTTATATAGATTACATACAGGCTAGTGTGTGTATAGTTTTTATTTTACCTAAGTATACATCTATGTAAATACTGTGTCGAGCAAATTAATCATTTCCATCCATAAAAAAACACTTTGCATTAAAAATTCTTAATTTCTTTGTGTTTATATCCTCAGATCATGTGGTCTAGCTTTAATGTCATTTGTGCTTTGGCCTCTAAGTAGCTGAGGACCAATAGAATAATTGCATGGGTTTGATGCATTCAAGGAAATATTTTGTGTTTATAACTCTAGGTAGCTGCTTTTTAAACTCATTGATGTTTCCACACCAGGTGTTTCTCCCTGAAGAAGTCTATATGGGAATCCTTGCTATTACCTTGGCTTTGTTAGGTATTGTGGTTGTCATCATTATCACAAGTAAGTCATTTCAAGGTTGTTCTTCAAGGGAATACAGCAAGGGATCTGCAGCCAGGTGCCTGCAGTCAAATACTGTAACTCCATGTGGTGGTTCATTTTGGTTTCACGTGACTTTCCCTGTCCCCAAGGCCTCATCTGTCAAGTGTGCCTGGTAGCAACATCTATTTCTTGGTGGCTGTGTTGGTACCTATAACGTACTGAATGACTTATGGTGTACAGGAGATGCACGGCAGCCCTAAGTTGTGTGAGATATGTTAAAACACTTATTTAGCAAGAGACAAATGAGACACTGGAGGGGACACTGTCCAAATAGTATTAACACTACAGTGTAGGTCTTCAAGAGACAGCCATCCTAGGATGAGCGCCCCTCTTTCTGCCAGGTGTGTGTGTGTGTGTGTGTGTGTGTGTACAATGTGTGTTTCTCTACTTGCAGGAAAAGAACCTGCATCACCTTTTTGTAAGACACAGTATATGGACTCCGTGCTGATGTATTACAAGTGTCTGGGCAAAAATCAGAAAGCTGAATATGCTTGTCAAATCTGAGAAAGATTTCACTTAATTACTAAGAATTTGCTTAGTCATATAATGATTATTTAGACATTGGGTAAAGTTCCTCAGATATGCTCCATTCTTCAACCAAAAGAGTTTTTATCTTCTTTTTCAGTGGAGAGATTACTGATAATATAAAAATTTGACTACAGTATGAAAGGTCTTTGGCAGATGCACGAACTTTAGCATGGTGCCTTCTGTCTCAGGTAGCCTGGGATAGACTTTGGTTATAACTGACCTCTAGCAGCCACTTAGGAAAACTGAAATTTTCCGGTGCATTAGATAAAGGCAATTTAAAAATTTCACTGTAACAAGGCAGGCTACGTGGGGAATGTACCCAACAGTAATGGAAACAAGACAGTGAGCACTAAAGAGCTGGTTTATGTTTCTGTGGACTCAAATGCGTTTCTGGGGAAGAATCAAGCTGGAGTTACCAGGGGAGGGTGCAAATGACAACAGAAACAGTATACTTGTTTGGAAGCAGTTTTCCTGAACGTTTTTGCTGACATGTTTAATATTCCTGTCCACTTCTTTCTGGTTTCCTCCATGGCCACCTAGACTACTTCAACAGCAGAGTGAAGCTGAAGACACTAAGGTAAGTTTGAAAGATTTGTGACAATAGTTTTGATGTTCTTCTGCTCGTAAAAATCAAAAGAAGTTATGCTTAGTTGTTCTTTTTCTCCTGAAATACCCCTTCTTTGCTTTGTGTTTTTAAATTTTTTTTCCCTGAGCCAGGGTTTCACTATGTAGTTCAGACTTGACTTGAATTTCCTTTGTAGCCCAGGCTTGCCTCAACCTGCAGCCATCCTCCTGCCTCAGCCTAGAGGTCTGAGATTACAGGCCTGTGCCACCACCTCTGGCACATTATCTCCTTTGAATCTTCAAAGTTTTGCTGTTTGTATACCTTTATTGTAAACTTCCTTGCAATGCCTTGAGTGTATTTCCCTCCAGTTGTGACAAAACTGGCACAGAAGGAGCTTTTCCTGATGTCTGTAGTAAAAGAACTACAGTGCTGTATATTGCACGAATTATTTTTGGTTTTTTAAAACATTTTCTTTAGTACTTTCTTTTATTGTTTATTGAGTATCTATTTCATTGGAATCTGATTTGAGAAAGAGAAAACATGATGCCACGGATTTATCTCAACGTCATAAGCAATTGCCTGGCAGGCAGCAGGTCTGTTGTTTGATTGACAGTATAAAGAAAACAAAACAAACCAAAACAACCCATAAAACACATAAGCAAAGCAACAAGGTCCCTGTAATTGTTTCTTATCTATACCATGAGAAACACAGAACAGGAAGCAGGCTATTTGAGCTTCCTGGAGGAGTTTTGAAGGAAGCTCATTCCTGGCTGAAGGGGCAGGAAGTGCAGAGGCTGTGAGGCAGGGCCAGGGCTCCCACTCATGCAGGCTCCTCCACTCCACGCTGCCCCAGAGCCAGCTCACTCTACTCTTTCGAATGATGATCCAGCTTTTTAAACACTTATTGTATCTTTCAATTTCAGCTTAATCTCTTAGATTGCATCTATTCCATGCAGTTGATTATCTGTCCCATTAGAAAACAAACTGTCCTGCTTTATTTGGCTCAGATTGACTACACACAAAATCTTTTTTTTTAAATTCAAAATCAATGCCACTAGGCCCCTCTTTGTGACTCCCACTCATCCTCTGTGGATGTCTCTTTGAAGGTCTGCCTGTTTTGTGTTCCATGGGCCAATCCATAGGACATGCCTTGAACATTGTCCAACACACTACATCCAACTACACAGTTCATAAAGAACTAAGCCTCAGGAACACATGCTTGTAAATATTTTTCATTAACTGCTCTGGACATGAAAAGGAAATGCTCCACATAGGTGGAAAGTGATGGACCACAGCATTCTTTGAGTAATATGATTTCTAATCTTGCATCGTTCACTATCTTTTTGGAGTCTCATTATTATTACTGCCTAATTACTGCAGAAAATGTAATGTACAAAAACAAAAGAGAATCCCAGCTTAACATATAATGAACATTCTCCTGATGATACTTAATTTTTGGCAGTTGTACACACTGACTCATTTGAGATTTGAACTGTGTATCACATGGGTTATTGACCTAGGATCATAAGAGATACCTTGTCTGTAAGTTTTTTTAATCTAGTGGGTGACAGGACATTCCTTGTCCATGTCTGATCAAACACTCAAGTTCTACATTTCCACAGTAGCAACAGTCAGTACTAGACAAAGCACAAAATTCCAGCCACATCACAGCACCAGACATGAGTTGAAGATCAGTCCACTTTCTTCTGTGATGGGCCCCTCCTTGATTTCTGTGGTCCTCAGGCAGGACCCCAAATACCAGGAAAGTACCATGAAATCTCCAAGCACTTTCACTGGGCATCTCCAAAGACAGAAATGCAGGTGCAGGAAGTACCAAAGCTCTCTCTAAAAAGAGAATACTTTCACCATCAGTGTTGTTTATTAATATTAGTGTTTTAAATGTTTACTGTCCCAAGCTTTGGAGACTCAACCATAAAACACAGCAAGGTTTTGGGCACCGTGATCCACTACAATACTGTGAACAGTACTCTTTGGCTCCCTGCGACACTCTTCTGCTCTATATTTATCTTAAAAGATGTAAACCACTAACTAATAACCTTTTCTAAAGTCTCAGAATTCACAGTTGTGCAAAGCTCAGTTATGCATGTCTTAGCGACATTTGAAAACTGAGTAACTCAGTTTGATACCAAACACGTGTGTTTTCACTTATGTATTCTATTATACAAGTGTCCTAAAGGACACTATTTTTTTTTGTCCTAAAGATTGAGCTCAGGACATTGATAGTGTTCTATATCCACCCGCCCCCTCCATTTTTAGACAAGGTCTTACAAAGTCACCAAGTTATCCACACTAGGCTTCAGTTTGTGATACTCCTGCCTCAGCCTCAGAGTAACTGGCGTTACACGGGTTTCCCACCACACTCAGTCTATTTGCATATTAAATCAGACATTGCTGTGGTATAATACCAAGGACTACACTTTTCACACCAACAAAAGGCATTTTTTATTTTTTGGGGAATCAAACTCAGGACCTTGTGCTTGCAAGGCAGACACTGTGCCAGTGAGCTATATATCTCTTCAAAAATGTATTTTTTTCTTTGTGTGATCAGAGCTCCCAAAGATCACAGAGAGCCAGTTTTGCTGGCTCACGAATACAAGCCCTGCTTGTGCTATAGAAGTTATCTGTTTTGCTCTTATTCATGCTATTCTACATCTCTTTCTGCAGCAAGGTTTGGGAGACTCATCCTCAATATCAAGTTTTAGAAGAGCAAGATCCAGCAGAAAACAAAGCCTGTGTCATCGAGAGTAAACTTTGAGTCACAGATTATGACAGGTGACTGCAGAGGACACTGATCATGCATCACTACGTTCAACCCTTTGGATTCCTGGATCATTTTTCTGCATAACTTATATCCGCATTTCCAATGAATCAGTGCTGTTGGATAGAGTAACTCTTGGGGCCAAAGCCTTATGTTCTCAAATTCATTGTTACTATAGTCCTGATCTTTATGCTGAGACTGGCCTGGTCTCTCCAGGCACTGCAGAGTTTTCTGTCAAGCATGAATACCTCACAGTTTCGTCTTTTCTTTAGACTCCAAGATTCTTTTATCCATCAAAGAAAGTAATCAGGGTAACACAATAAATGAGCCCAACACAACTGTCAAAAGCAGTAAGCTTTAAAAAGCAAAATATCCAATTTGAGGCTTTTGGTGTCTTTTGTGATTACTGGTTGCTTTTATAACTCCAAATGGGAAGTTTCATATGTTTGTAAGAGTAAATCATGTGAATATGCAGATTTTTGCTTCTCTTATGAGGAAGCAGAAGAGAGTCCACTTTTGTTGTTATAGGTATAGATGTTTACTCCTGGCTCTGTGTGATCTTTGGACCAGTGGTTGTTTCAGCTGTCAGATGAAGTTACAGTGCTGAGTAGGAACCACGCAGGCACCAGGGAAGACAAGCACTTGTCACGTGGCTCATCACACTTACGCTGTGTGTGATACCAGCCCTGTGCCATGGCACTACAAACTGCCAGGCTCTTGAAATAAGTTTCAGAGTGAGGCAAGGAAGCAATGAATGAGGGAAAATGGGAGGAACCAGGACATGTGCTGCCACATTTAAGATAGTTTATTTCAATTTATGAAATTTTGTACATGTGTAAGAAACAGAAAAACCATTCATTCAAACATGAAATAATTTTGTGAGTACATTAAATGAGCAGTTCATACCAGTTGTATGACAAAAATTTTTATATTTTGAAACCTGACTTGTCATTTTTTGGAAGTTCATCGGTTAGCTACAGCTCTGCATCCTCATCCTGCTATGGACTCCGAGGATGCAGCCAAATTATATGAGAATTTACTGATTGCCCACTAGCTGCCGGAATCTTGGTGCTGGGGACAGAGGTGGGCACAGTGCCTCATACCTTTCATTTCAACACCCTGCAAAGTGTGGATTTCACACTTGACATTGTGAGACTTGGACTCAAAACCAAAATGGAAAAAAAGAAGCTAACAATGTAGGTTATCTAGTGTGAGGCACTGAGTTTGATTTTTTTGTACTAAACCGAGCAAACAAACAAATGCCCATTATTCTGGCACCAATGAACAAAAGATAGTATTGTCAAAGAGCCTGGTTTCTGGGCTGTGGAGTTTGTGGTTGGAAACGCTGTTTAGGGAATGTCCCATTCATTGTCAGCTGTTGGGTGTCATCCCAGGTCTGTACCAACTAGGTGCCAGTAAGATCTTCCTGTGTGACAAATGCCAGTGTCCCCTGAGGGGTAACATCAGCTCTATCTGTGACCCGAGACACAGGAACTCTTCAGGCTTTAGCATGTTTTTCGGGCCTGCTTCTGGGAAAGAACTGACATTTGAGATGAAGGCAAAAAAGGATGTGTAAGTGGCACCACGTGAACATTTGCTGAACATTTTCTACCTGCCAGGTCAAGAAGAAGCTTAAGTATTGAGAGCAAAACCGTGTTCCAGGGCCTTGGCGAGAGCAGAGAGACAGGGAGGTGAGGTTGGAGAGAGGGGAACTGGGAAAGCAGGGGCTGGTGGAAAAGGCTCTAGGAACACATCTGCTAGAGGAAAGAACCCACTTTTAGAAAGCCAACCCCTTTAGCGTGTTAAAGGCTAAACCAGCCCTATATCCCCCATACTAATGTCTCAGCACCTTCCCATGCTTCAGTGACACTGCTAAGTTCATTTACAGCTAACAAAGAGCCAGGTGCCTTGGCAGAGGGCAGATGGGAGAGGAGAGGGGAAGAACAGTAAATCCTGGCAGCCACGGTGCTGTGTCTTGGCACCCGAAGGAAGACTCATAGAACTGCAATGCCGGCACTTGGGAGGGTAAACCTTGAGGATAGCCCCGAGTTCAAAACCACCCTGGGTACAAAGCAAGCACCTATTTTTTTTTTTTTTTTGGTCTTTTTCGTTTTTATCGGTACCAGGGATCGAACTCATGACTGGCTGCTTACAAGGCAGGCGCTTATGCCGCTGAGCTAAATCCCCAGCCCTGCAAGCACCTATTTTTAATTAAAGTCTTCTGGAAAAAAAAGAGTTTGAGTAGAAAAAATTTGTACATTTGTACACTGGGTCGTGTGGTGGCTAGGAGCATTGTTTTCATACCTGTAACTCCAAGATGAAATAGTGGGGGAGTCATAGAGAAGTTCAGCGCATTTTCAAAACACTTAATCATTTTTATTGCATATTTTTAAAATGGGTGACGTGCACGACTTGCTGTGGCTGTTTAGACTGTCTAAAACTTTTACATTTAGGTACTATAAAGCTAGTTGAGTAATAGTAAAGGGCAAAGTAAATATTTTAAAGCTTATGGAAATGTTTGAAACTAAACCCAGATTACATAAGTTGGCTTCTTGTTCAAATAGATTATTTAGTGACACAGGAGACTGATCACTTGTGTTTGTTTCAGTGACAGCACATAGTCTTCTGGGAAGATGGCAGAAGGGGCAGCAGCAGAGAAAGAATATAACATTGTGAAAAAGAATAAGGAGGGACGTGGGTTGGTCCTCTGGACACAGGAAAGATGCCAAGGAAGAAGTGAGGCCCACAGGGAGAGCAGAGAAGCTTAAAAAAAAATAAAAGGAAGGGTAGGCAGTGCCTTCTCCCTGAACCCAGACCCATTGTGTGGGAGAGGCAGCTCAATCCAGCAGAGGCATGGTCACTGCTGGAGGCCCCAGAGGCCTCTATCTAGTATATAAAAAGCTTTTATCTAATTTTCTCTCCTTTAATGCAATGTAGTTGAATGACATTGTCTGGACTACTCAGCATCTCTATGTATAGTGGAATATATATATATATATATATATATATATATATATATATTGCACATCACAAAAGCTTTGTTTTTAAAAAGTATCATTTGACAAGTGACCTCTTGCTGCTTGCACAGGACCTGCTATCATAAGCAGTTGTAGCACAAGAGGAAGGCAGATGTCCAAATCTGAAAGAAAATCTTTATCACCATATAAAATCCCAGTTATACATTCTGGAAGACATGTACATCTGGAAAGCATGAGTATATTTAGAACAGAATGCAATTAGCAACAAAGAATAGTGATAATCATATAAAACCTTTGGTTTCTTAATTTAATTGTATACCAAATACAACTCGTAATGAGAAAATTTTATTGTATTGCCCATACAGACTTAAACTGTTGGCAATGACCAAAGTAAATCTATCAAAGCAATGTATTTTACATTTATCATGGTGTCTTCCATAATGTTATGGAGACTACCATGGCCTCCATTAATGAACAAGGACTGAGAATTATTTCCAGTCAGCTGCTTCCTTATTCAGCAAAGGAAGTCCTGTCCAGCAGTCTCTACAGACTAATGGATTTTTATTTCATCATCTTAACAAAATTTTGATCTATGAGAATCTGATTATAACACTTAACACATTATTTTTTGACCATTGAAAAATTTCAAAGTTATTGTACACACAACAATATGTATTACATCTATAAAACCAATCTTATTATCACTGAGCCATTGGCAACCTGGGTGAAAGCATTCATATTAATGACATTTACCTATAACCCAATTTAAATTACTGACAAATGTTTCAAAAATCTAGGGATGCAAAGGAAATGAAACTTTGTTGAGCTCAGTAAAACACTAGTTTACAATTAGACAGACAGACATACCACAAATATACGTAAGACAATTTCTTTATAATCAGAGTGCACTCAAATTTAATTATTAACATGTTTAATAATTTTTGTTTACAATTATAAATAGACTAGTCAGAACCTTTGACAAACTTGATTTTAGATGAAAGCCATACCAAAAAAGTCAACTGCCTTACAATATGGTTTTCAAGTTAGACATGGAATACACAGCATAAGACAAACTACAGTTTTTACCTTTCAATTTCCTATTTTGATAAGAACTACCAAATTTCATTCTAAACCATGTATGCATATATTTTTAATTTAGCAATCTCATAGTGAAAATAATGGAGATTTTTACTGACTGAGGAATACTGAAAACTGAATTTTACTCTACTATTATCTAACAAAAGGACATTACAAGATTTTAAATGTTGAACCTGTAAAAATGGAAATGTATCTCAGTTAGGAACACAGCAACTTAAAAAATCCAGTCATAGGAGTTGCTCATTACATTTTTGCAGGCCATATATGTTCATAATAAATGTCACATTCACCTACTATAATCCATGAAGAGAGTACATTCTTTTCATCGTTTTCATTTATACATTTTAAGTTTCAAATTTCAGTAGTAAAATTGAATAAATTTGATTCCATTTTCATAAAAATTTGCTATACACAGTACTTACATGTTGCCAAAGTCTACAGCCATACAAAACATCACAATGATCTGAGTGTATGGGTGGTTCCATCACACAGGAGGAGGGAGCTGATCAACATCCATTCCAAGATTAAGAGATTCGCATGGTGTATTTGTCACTGTCCATTAAAATTAAACATCTGCACAGAGACAGGCTTTCTTCAGGCAGCATTTGCTATTCACAGTACAATCCGTCTTTCAACTTCACCCAGCAGCCCTCAGTTAAAAAGAAGCAGCAGGCCACCAGAATTGGGAATGGAGTGGGAACCCTCCCTTCTTGCTCTGCTCCTCCTGCCATCCAGGTCGTGAACTTCAGGTGATAATTTCTCCACTGGAGGAGCCTCAGGAGGCAGGATTTAAAGACAGCACCTTCCACACACAGAAGGACACCACTTTTCCTTAGAGTTTAGTGCTGGGTTCTGCAGTGCGGCAGGAGTCCTGCAAGGAGAAACAGTGAGGCTGCGCCTGGTGCTGGGACCCAGCTGCACAGCGCTATTATGGAGGTGCGTGCATGAGAAAGTTCTGGAAAGTCTTGGAGAGCTCTGTTGAGATTAGCTCGCCTGGCTGGCCGCAGCTGGCAGAGATCCCGGGCCGCTGTCAGGATGGTGCCCCAAGTCCTCCAAGGACAGCATGTCCTCTGCCCAGAACAGGCCACACAAAGCCAGTGTCTGGTCTGTAGGATTCGCGAACTCTGTTTTGGGCTCCATGTAGGCCCAGGAGACTTTCACTTCACCCGGAAGTATTTTCCATGCGCCCGGAAGTCCCGCTTCCTGTGAGACCTGCACCTTTCCCGGAAGTGTTTGGGGGGGGGGGCAGTCCTGAGAGCTGCTGGCCAGGTGAATTGTGCCCTCTATAGAAGAGTCCGGGC